GCTAGAGAGAGAAAAGGAGAACTTTAACTTTGTGCTACTTACACTGAGCTTAATATATCTGGAGGGATGTATTTTCCCCTTTCTATGCAGATAGAGAGAACGTGCCCCAAGAGTGTTCTGAAAAGCAGCATTTTCAACAGGATACAATCTTTTGCTCTAGCTGTTAGGAGCAGTTTTGTTATTTTTTGTTAATTTTGCAACTGAATGGTGTGTGTGTCTTTTATTTTCTTTGCTTCCAAATATACAAACACATGCTTCATTGAAGGTGCCACCATGAGCCAGCGAGTAAACATTTGAAAAAACAGAAGGTCGTTTCACTTCTAATACGTATAAAGGTTTTGATTTTTAAAATATGGACAATCAACAAAGCCCTGTATTCCCAACCACTCCAGGCACTATGTGAGGTCATCAGTCTGGCAAAGCACGTGAGACAGAGAAGACACAGAGAAGAAAACCCAGGAGCGTGCTCCCTTCACAGAGTTCCAAAGCCCTTCAGGACTTTCCCCCACTCTCTTTTCACCCTTGATGTCATGTGCTAAACACGAGGATTTAGGCAGTGCTAATCCTCCTAATGAGGGCTTCTCCCACCCTCTATATAAATCCTCCAAATCTTGGCAAGCATCACAGAGCAAAAGCCTTTTGAACCACATTCAGGGTAATTAGAGTCAAGGATTAAACAAACACCCCAAATGCCAACATCATAAGCAGTGAGGGAAATTATCTCATTCAGTCAGTTAGTCAAAGCTCAGTCTGCTGAGAATCTGGAAGAAGTGCGGCCCTCATCCTGTCCAGAGGCAGTTCACGAAACACCCTTGCTCTTGTCCTTGATTGCGGAAGCCAAACCCAGCACAGAGAGTGGTTCCTGCAGCAATGACCTCCCAGCCGCAGCGGGTGAGGTGGCTCTGCTCCGCTCTCCTGGGCTACCTGAGCTGCTGCTGCATGCCGCGAGCTGAGGCGCAGTTCCCCCGCGTCTGCATGACAGTAGAGGCGCTGCTGGCCAAGCGCTGCTGCCCAGCTTTGGGCCAAGAGCCGAGCAACGTGTGCGGCTCTCAGCAGGGCAGGGGACAGTGCAAGGAGGTGCAGGTGGACACCATGCCATGGCGCGGCCCATACAACCTCCGCAACGTGGATGACCGGGAACAATGGCCCCGGAAGTTCTTCAATCGGAGCTGCCAGTGTACAGGTGAGAGGAAGAGAACTGACACATACTAACTCTGCTCTAGAGAAGAGCAAATCCCTGATTGTGGCAAAGGGATCAGGAGGGTTGATCCAAATTGCACTACAAATCTAGCCAACCCCTACCCTACTGGTGAGAGAGGCGCTTGAGCTAGCCTAGAAACCCAGTAAAATTAGAAGATGGTTCTCTCTCACATTTAAATGCTGTTGTTTTTTCCACATGTGCTCACAGGAAAGGACCCCCCCCATTATTGTTACAGGGTTTGCCCATAAGGGCATTCTATTTCCCATGCTTAAATCTGGTTTATTAGGTAGCATAGACAGGGTTTGTGACAATTAGAAGTGTACAGTAAACTTCCGATAATCCCGCACCTTTAGGACCCAGGGGATGCCAGATTATCAGATATGCCGGACTATTGGAAGGGGGGACTATGAGGAGTCGGGGGAGGGATGCCACCCCAAACCCCTCATAGCCCAAGGGGAGCTGCTTTGCGCCCGCTTCCCCCGTTTCAGCCGTTGCTAAAACTGACCAGCAGCTGAATCGGGGACACCTGAGACAGAGAAGCTGGGGTGCTGCTGGGTTGGTCCGGTAGCGCCGCCCCTCGGCGCTACAGGACCAACCCGGCAGCACCCCAGCTGCTCTGCCCCCGGCTTCCACGATTCAGCTGCTGGTCAGTTTCAGTAGCAGCTGAATCGGGGAAGCTGGGCGCAGAGCAGCTCCAATTGTCCGTCTGCCTGGAGCACTTCTGGGTTCCTGATGGTGCCGGACCATCAGGAGTGCCGGAGCATTGGATGCCGGACCAATGGAGTTTTACAGTATATAGATGAAGCTGTACACCTGTATCAGCACATGTTGAGCTGGGATTAATTACTGCCAGAGTAGTAGTTTGCACTGTCTGCCCTGAAAATTTCATTGATGTCAGCGATCCCAGCTGGTAAACGTAATTCTGCTTTGCAGTGCTGAAAGAACCTAATGTTACATACTGTGCTAAAGCCAACAGGACTTAGTAGTGCTTTAATTGTGCTAAAATGTGATGCATTCAGGGATTTAGTACAATTCTTACAAGGTGAGTCCTGTCAGTCTTGCAAAATGATTTAACTTTGTGGAGAGAAAACAGTTGGAATTTTCAATGCAGACATAACCAAAGCAGTCCCATTGACTTCAAGTCCTGGGTACACTATCAAACACCAAGCCCTCACTAGCCTATGGCACATTGAGTTCAGTGGGAAATTTTTAAATGTTGAGCCTGCAAACACAAATGCACATGCTTAACTGTAAGTGCAAGTATAAGCTTTTAGACGACTGGAGAATTTGATCATAAATTCTGTGGGGCAGCGATCTTGTCTTTTTTCTATGCTGTTATATACAATGGAGAATATTAACAGAACCTTATTAAGATAGAAAAGTTAGACACTCAAAACTTACGAAAATGTCAGAATTAAGTTTGCCTATGTATGCTTAATTTGCACACACACCTCTGGCCGCCTTGTGTGAGAATGTAGCTTTTAATTACATGATCACATGCTAATTTTTCCACAGGACCCCTGTGTCATTCAATACACAGGATAGACAGTGCTCACTGAATTAACAGTTTGTGAATAAGTTGGTTTATTCTTGCTGTTCAATGTGTGTGCTCCTCAGCCGAATTCACTAAGCATTATTCAAACCCTTCACTAAAGACAGAATTGTTATTTTCCTCATGGGCCTAGCTAGCTATAGTACTGCACTGTTGTATCTTGAGTGAGTCATAAACATTAATTTAAATTTCTTCCTAACACTGATGTGAAGTGTGTGTGTGTGTGAGAGAGATATCATGTCCATTTTACAGGTGGTGAAGAGGGTGCCCCACCATGTAACTTTTAGATCATTTGCCCAGGAACTTGGAGATTTAGGTTCAATTCCCTTTGTGGGGAGAGAGGCTTTGAAGAGGGGTACTCTGTACCCCACCTGTCAGGAAAGTACTCAACCACTGAACTATGAGAGATTCTGATATGGGAGTCTCTCATTATCTCCTGGTGAAATTGTTTCGCTGTAGAAAAATGATTGGCATCTGGGTTTCTTCCCTTTCAAGTGGGTACCCTAACCGTACAGAGTCTTTTTTTCCTATGGCCCCTTTGTGGAACCAGACCAGAGAGATTGAAGTTAAAAGTTCACTAAGTTTGAGTGCCCAGTGTTTGAGATACCAGGGCCTGACTACTAAGAGTATTTCTATTATATATCACTTTATATTTTCAAAGCAGAGCTCCCTGTGACTTTAGTTTGAGCTGTCAGTGCTCCTGCAACTCATACCCGAGGATCACATCTCAGGCATCCAGAAAATGGAACACGTAGTTAGTGACCAGCTGTGATTTGTCAGGTTTCAGGCTTGCCTAGCATCACCCAGGAACTCTGTGACAGAGGTAGAGCTAGATTCCAGTTATCCAGGATTACCTTAACCCTGAGATTGGCTTTTCTCTTTCTTTTGGTTCCCTGCCTCATTCATTGCACATCTTCCACCTTCTGCAACAAATGACCTGGACATCCTACAAACAACAGCCTCCTTCACGTCACAGCCCTGCTCTTTCCCAGAGCTGGTCCATCTTGCACACTGAGGCTATGTCTACACGGTGTTCTTTTTCTGTTTTTTCCCCCAGAAGATGCTTTTCCGACATATGGTCCATCTACATGGGGCCAAATGTGGGAAAAAGCTCCTCTTTCAGAAGATCCCTTATTCCTCATTAAATGGATCATTTTATTCCCCTGTATAAAATGAGGAATACAGGGCTTCTGAAAGAACGGGCCCACTTTTTCAGAAACTGATCTGAAAAAGCAGACGTGTTCCCTTGATGTGGCAGAGTTTTTTTGGGATACCTCCAGTATCTCGGGAAAACTCTGTAGTGTAAACATAACCTGAATCAGGCAAAGGACCTATGGACAGACAAACAAACAAACAGAAACAACGGTGTGATCATGTTTTTAAAGTTTGTATCACAATCAGTGTTCCCTCTATTTTTTTCCATCAATAGATGGAATAAATTTTGTTATCTGCCGCAAAGCATGTTCAGATGTGCACCACCAGTAGAAATACATGCTGCTGGCTGTGGATGCTGTGTGCACTCTGTTAATCAGCTGAGCAGCATTTGAATCTCTCCTGGGTGGCTGCCCAAATGACCAGCTTAGCAGAAACACTGATCACAATACAGGCAGTCCCCGAGTTACGCTGATCCGACTTACGTCGGATCCGCAGTTACGAACGGGGTTTTTCTCGCCCAGGAGGACGGGAGCGGCGGGACGCGGCGCATCTGGGCGTCCCACCGCTCCCATCCTCCGGGGCGAAAAAAGCCCCGTTCATAACTGCGGATCCGACATAAGTCGGATCCGCGTAACTCGGGGAC